TAGTTGGATTTTTTTGTGGTTGGATGTGATGTTTGTGAGATAAAAAATGAAATGATTATGAGATTTGATGTGATATTTTGTTTGGATTGATTTTTTTTGGTTTTGTAACCAATTTGTCTTTTAGTAAAAAAAACAAAAACCAAACTTCCCAAACACCTCCAAAATAGGTTTTTTAACTCAATAAGGCAAAACATCACATCTAATCCATAATCATTACATTCTTTCTTTCACAAAAAAATTTAAAAAGTTAAAAAAGCCAAAAGTCCTTCTCAAACCAAATTTTTTAACCCTGGGTAAAATAGTCAAAAAAAATTAAAAAGTCAACCCATTTTTTAAACCAAACCAAGTCAATCCATAATCATTATATTATTTCTCTCACAAAAAAATTAAAAAAACTGAAAAAGCAAAGAGTCCTTTCCAAACTAAATTTTTTATTCCAAAATAAAATAATCAAAAAAATTAAAAAATCAACACATTTTCCAAACCAAGCCTATGTGTTTTGCAATATATTTATCGATAATACCACATAAAAACAATTGATTGAGACCACCAGATAATTTTTTAAAAATAAACATATTCCTACTAGTCCTCTCACGATTCCACAAGAAACGACTTCTTCAAATGTCTATAAACTGGTGTTCAATCTTCTTTATTTAATTTAAGTTCAAAAAAAAAATAAAAATCTTCTTTATTTAATTTATGAAATATTTTTTTTCTTTCCATTTCATAATTAATAGTTATATAAGATCTATCTCAATAACTTTTTATTTTAAATTAAAACAATAAAAAATGTTCTTACAATAACATAATAGTTATAACCATTTATTTTAATAATATATTAAAACTTTTTTCTTGATTGACTATATTAATTATAAAATAAATAAATAAAATAAAATAAAATAAAATAAAAACTTGTTAAATGAAATATGAAGATCACAATGCAAAGCAATTATATCCAGAAAAAAAAAAAAAAAAAACACTTTTTCACTAACCCCCACCCCCCCCCCCCCCCCCAAATTAAAATTTAAAAAAAAAATGAAAGAGAAGGAAAATCAAAATGGCAGAGACAAGGATAAGACCCAAAAAAAAAAGGTTACAACTTTTATATGCTAAAGTCGAGACCACGTAACAAGAAAGAAACGAGAATTCTACCTTCCAGAAATTTTCTTGGAGGTTGAGTGTAGCCTTTTGAAGAGGACTTATCAATGGTCTCAGAATCCTCTAGCTCTCTTCTTTTCCTACGAATCAAAAATATCAAGACTACCAGCGACACAACTGCAACTGCTGTAACTGCTATACCCAGACATGGAATTAATGTGAGATGAAAGAGATGGTGTGTTTCGTTAAGATGCGGACTCAAGGAGAGCTGGCCTGGGCTAGCAGCAACCAATGGACTCGGAGAAGCCTCAGGTGAAAGCAAAGATGGGGATGGCTCCGAAGCTAGCATAAAAAATGCAATTAAACTATAATCAAATGGCTTAACATATAGATATGAGCATAATGGATAACATCTACAAACATTTAAGATAACCATCATATGTGATGTGAACAGATAATGGGTAAAATCCAGTGTTAAGAGAAAACATCAGAAATAAACTAAATAAAACGTGGCCATCTTTTATGCATAGGCTCGTATTACTCAGCAGATTTTTTTCTCTTCTTTTTTTTTTTTGGCTTTTGGGAAACTATGTAGCTAAAATTCCATAAATTACTAGTCAAGTTGAAAAAAATGAGGTGCACATTGAATGGTCAGAGCTTACAGAAGTTCTTTGTTTTTTGGCATTGTCTCATAAGCCAACACTAAAGACTTACAAGCAGTTTCTAAGGAAAAGGTGAGGTGAATTTGAGTAGTCAAATCTGATCTCGTCAATGCTGCCAGAAATACTTTTGTAAAACAATATTATTTGAGGAAAATATACACATCATAAGATCAATATGATACAAAGGGACTTGAACAAATCAGGGAGAGGCCTTCTGGAACTTTTTTCCTTTGAACCAACATCTCAAGGAGTGGAGTCACTAGTTTGTAATGAAGATTGACAAACCTTGCAATATTTACATCAAATTGGTTTGTGTTTGTGCCCTTGTCTAATATTTCATTTGATCAATTGGAGTATTGTTCAAACTTCTCATTTAATCTTGCACTTCAAAATTTTTTATTATTATTTTTCGTTAGATATGGTAATCAACTATTCTTTACTCCTCTTTCTTTTCTTTCTTTTTCTACTGTGAAAGAGTTAGTCATTTAAATTAAAACTATTTAAAAGCAAATGTAATGCAAATTGTGAGTATATGGTGACTCTTTGGTTACTAAAACAAAAGGAAACTTTACCACCATATAGTACACCCAAAAATTTAGCGTAGACTTTGGATTGGACCTCAAGATATCATTCATCACAGTACCTCCTCTTTTTGTTTTCTTTTTAATGCACATGCCAATAAAGACACTCAACTAAGCATGCCAACTGCACAGCTTAGAGGTGATTGCCTATGATTCCAAAAAAGATGTTAATGCAACATGAGACATATGAGTTGTAGATGATACAACCGATGGCATTAGTCAGTATAGTTTTGGACAGATTATCAAGTCAGAGAAACAAAAAGCCATGATTCAGCGAGTTAATATAGGAAAGCTAGGTAAGATAAGACTGAACCAACATAATATTCTCTCTGTAAAATCCAAATTTTTTATGTGTAGAATTATTTTTGGATAAAGTAGTAATTAAATTAATTTATATGGGTCATTTTAGTAACATCAAGGAATTAGTTATGAGGTGATTTTTTTAAAATTTTTATTACTTAGATGGTTAAGTTTGTGATTTTGGGAGATTGGGTTATAGGCCCACTTGGGCTTTAGGTCTTGGAATCATAGAAGCAAACAAATAGAGGTAGTGATGTTGTTGTGGCTGCTGCGGCAGATCTAGCAATAGAAAAAAAAAAAAAAGAAGAGAGAGAAGAAGAAGAAGTAAAGAAAAAGTATATAAATTTTAGTTTTAAATAAATTATAACAACATTACTTTAAAATATAATCAAATACAATAACAAATCCTAATCAACTTTATTTTAATAATTTGCCTCCTCCACCACCATAATGAGTCCGAATCCTCGGCCGCCTATTCTTGCGGCCATTCTTGCAACACCCCCAAAACGACGTCGTTTTGGAGGAAATTTTAATTAAAAAAAAAGAAAAGAAAAAGAAGACAAAACAAAATCAAAGAAGAAGGAAGAGGACAGATCTCCTTCTCTGGGTCCTTCAATCTCTGTTGCTCTGTTCAATCGGTTTTTGTGTGTTGAACAAAAATGAAGATATTGATGATGATGATACATTTGCTCTGTTTTCTTCAATCTAGTTTCTTCACATTCAGAGGAAAAATAACATGTATCAGCAAACTCAACATTTCGAAGCTTTGAAAGCAAGTCCTGAATGTCCCCAAAAAACCCTATTTGAATGCAAATCAAACACCTTCAGTTGCATCCATGAATCAAACCCACTTTGAGTCGAAGCCCAGTGAATAATAACAGAGTAAAGGATTAAATGAATGATGTCCCAAAAATCAGTTCAGAAACTAGACTTTACATCCAGATAGATTCATATTCGTATTCTTATTCAGAGCATATACATGAATCAGAGTTCATGCTTAGTTGTCCTTAGTACATCCGTTAGCGCTAACAGATCATTTACAGAGCATCATAGATCATACTTGTCAGTTCCATAGAGGAACCTCCGGCTGGGTACGGATAACTTGTTAGTTCCATAAAGGAACCTCCGGACTGGGAACGGATAACTTGTCAGTTCCATATAGGAACCTCCAGCCAGGTACAGAAAACTTGTCAGTCCATAAAGAACCTTCGGTTCGCGTACAGATAGCATTCTTGAATCTCAGCAAAAATACCACAAATATCTATCAGAGTTAGACAATTATTCATAGTACAAAACATAACATTTCATAGAACGGATTTTATTCCATTTATAGAAAATAATCTAACTTGAACATAGCTTTACTAATTTATTACTCACATATAACAAATGGCTTCAAGTATACGGACAGAGTAGGCAATTTAGATATCTTGTGGCGCGTGACCTACACAGGTACAGAACAAATACGTACTGAATTACACACCCAAAAACATTAACTTGGCTCTTTCTTATTTTAGTGTGTTTCTACTTTTATCCTCATTGTTGTGCCTTAATCTTAGTCTGGGAATGCCTAGGATGCAATGAGGATGCCAAAAATGCATTTGAAAACACTTGGTCAAACATGTTGGAAACAGGGGTCATGCTTGAGCACAATTTCCTGCGCTCGAGCGGACATGAAAAATGTGAGTGGTCGCTCGAGCGTAACTTTCTTCGCTCAAGCGGTCTGCAAACTTTGAAAAAGTACTACTTGTGTGATTTTCATGCTCAATGGTCGCTCGAGTGTGAGACTCAGGTCCTCGCTTGAGCGCAACTCTTGTCCCTCGAGCGGTCTGCAAAAACATGAAACTTCTTGGAGCTTGCATTTCACGCTTGAGCAGACTTCCGGTCGCTCGAGCAGAAGTGCAAGATCACAGAGTAGTCGCTTGAGCATAGGTTCTACCGCTCGAGCGGAGAGCAGAATTCTGGAATTTCCAGATTGCTCTTCTTAGCTCAAAACTCAAATTCAAAGTTGTAAAACATGGTCTTTTGGGAAAAAAAAATTGAGGAAACTATAGGAAATTAAAACTATTTAAAAGCAAATGTAATGCAAATTGTGAGTATATGGTGACTCTTTGGTTACTAAAACAAAAGGAAACACTACCACCATAGTACACCCAAAAATTTAGCGTAGACATCACAGTACCTCCTCTTTTTCTTTTCTTTTTAATGCACATGCCAATAAAGACACTCAACTAAGCATGGCAACTGCACAGCTTAGAGGTGATTGCCTATGATTCCAAAAAAGATGTTAATGCAACATGAGACGTATGAGTTGTAGATGATACAACCGATGGCATTAATCAGTATAGTTTTGGACAGATTATCAAGTCAGAGAAACAAAAAGCCATGATTCAGCGAGTTAATATAGGAAAGCTAGGTAAGATAAGACTGAACCAACATAATATTCTCTCCAACTCAGTATGGTAAGAAAAAAATACAAACAACAAAATTAACAGGATATTGATATTTTGGCCACCAAACCTGGTCCATAAGAAATATTAGGGGTAATCACTAGTTTAGTGGTTAAAATCTCGGCCTACTAACCTTGACATTCTAGGTTCAAGTTTGAGGATAGCCACTTTGTGCATTTATAAACAGAGCATTATAAACATAGGCAGATAGTACTTTCCACAACATTCAGATCATTTGTTCCAATGTCATGTGGTCATGGTCAGATTCAGTTTTCATTTTCAATGAACACACATTCACATATGCAGATGGATTGCCCCTACTTCTTACTAGGACATCCTAAGCTCGTATGGACTCATGTGTGTGGTAGAACACGTGCTCTAATACCACTCTGTCACGACCCAAACCCGTCCCTATAGATTTAGCATTGTAACCGGCCAGTAATCATTGGATTACCCAAGACCTCTGAATAGAATAACATATGAATAGGGGTTGCGGAAGCAGATATATAAAAACATACATAGTCCATCGAGCTGTGCAGACATACACGGGACAGATAATCTTAAATTTTAGAAGTATACATATGACGTCAAAAGATACAGTAATTATATGTCATCCCATGTACATATAAACAGAAATTTTGCTCGTAAGCCAAAAGAAATAAAGTCTTAAACATCCATAAAACATGGCTACAAGACTTGGCTTAATCCGGAACCTCCTCGGGAGGCACAAAAGTTGGCTAACAAACACAAAATTCTTCAGGCATCATCTTAAGTCTGGTCACGAGCCAACTCACCTATATACATAATAAATAAATAGTGAGCGGGAGCCCAGTGAATAATAACAGAGTAAAGGATTAAATGAATGATGTCCCAAAAATCAGTTCAGAAACTAGAGTTTACATCCAGATAGATTCATATTCATATTCTTATTCAGAGCATATACATGAATCAGAGTTCATGCTTAGTTGTCCTTAGTACATCCGTTAGCGCTAACAGATCATTTACAGAGCATCATAGATCATACTTGTCAGTTCCATAGAGGAACCTTCGGCCGGGTACGGATAACTTGTTAGTTCCATAAAGGAACCTCCGGACTAGGAACGGATAACTTGTCAGTTCCATATAGGAACCTCCAGCCGGGTACAGAAAACTTGTCAGTCCATAAGGAACCTCCGGTTCGGGTACAGATAGCATTCTTGAATCTCAGCAAAAATACCACAAATATTTATCAGAGTTGGACAATCATTCATAGTACAAAACATAACATTTCATAGAACGGATTTTATTCCATATATAGAAAATAATCTAACTTGAACATAGCTTTACTAATTTATTACTCACATATAACAAATGGCTTCAAGTATACGGACAGAGTAGGCAATTTAGATATCTTGTGGCGACCTACACAGGTACAGAACAAATACGTACTGAATTACACACCCAGAAACATTAACTTGGCTCTTTCTTATTTTGGTGTGTTTATACTTTTATCCTCATTGTTGTGTCTTAATCTTGGCCTAGGAATGCCTAAGATGCAATGAGGATACCAAAAATGCATTTGAAAACACTTGGTCAAAAATGTTAGAAACAGGGGTCATGCTCGAGCACAATTTCCTGCGCTCAAGCGGACATGAAAAATGTGAGTGGTCGCTCGAGCGTAACTTCCTTTGCTCGAGCGGTCTGCAAACTTTGAAAAAGTACTACTTGTGTGATTTTCACGCTCGATGGTCGCTCGAGTGTAAGACTCAGGTCCTCGCTTGAGCGCAACTCTTGTCTCTCGAGCGGTCTGCAAAAACATGAAACTTCTAGGAGCTCGCATTTCACGCTTGAGCAGACTTCTGGTCGCTCGAGCGGGAGTGCAAGATCACAGAGTAGTCGCTTGAGCGTAGGTTCTACCGCTCGAGCGGAGAGCAGAATTCTGGAATTTCCAGATTGCTCTTCTTAGCTCAAAACTCAAATTCAAAGTTGTAAAACATGGTCTTTTGGGGAAAAAAAATTGAGGAAACTATAGGAAACACTTGTATGGTGAAACTATAGTGAATTCAAAATCATTTCACAAAATCAAGGCCCAAAAGCTTGCCAATTATCCAAAACAAAACCTAAATCTTTGAAAACATAACATGACGTATCATGCATGTAAAGGTGCAAGGTCCAACCTTTCAAAACATGATCTAATGAGGTGTCTAACTCAAAAACATGTTGAATTCTTAGAAGAAGATCAAGGTAAGGACATGCAAGAGGAGATTCTTTGAAAGTAACCTCAAATTGTGCTCAAATGAACATTAGCATGGTATGATCTATGTTCCTTCATTCTAGCCCACTTCTCATAATAAACCACTCAATTCTCTTGAATTCATAAATTCACCAACTCAAGAACAAGATCAAAGGCTTAAATTCTTACCTTAGCATGTCAATGTGAGAGCTAGAAGCTTGATTCTTGTTGTTCTAAGTTCAATTCCTTCAATTCCTAGCAAATTCTTTGATTGAGCACAATCTCTCTTATCTCTCCCTCTCCCACGTTTGTCTCTTGAAGGCTCAAGGATGATGAGAAAAAGGTGGCTCAAGTAGTGTGTATAGGCTTTATATAGGCTTGCTTAGGACATTTAATTAATCTCAACTTAAGCTGGGTTATTGACATCAATTATTCTAATTTGATTAGTTCCAAATCGAATTTCAATTGAACCTACCATAATGTTCTAAAAATTCCAAATAACACATATACCAAGTCAATTTCGCAATCGGATGCCGATAAGGCCTTCAATTCACAGTACAAAATAAAAACAGAAACATATGTTCCTACGATAGACATATAGAAACTTATATAGCACATAATACATGCAATTAACTCAGGATTTCTTCTTGATTACTTATTAGGCATAATTAATCATGGATTAACGTTAATCAAAGGTCGGGATTGTTACAATATTACCAGAGTAACATGTTACTGTGAACTAGAGTAATATGTTATTACTACAAGACAGAGTAACTGTCAAACAAAGTAACATGTTACTCTGAGACAAAGTAACATGCCCCCCATAGAATAAGAGATGTTGACTTGAAGTTGTCACTCTTGGAAGGCACATTGGTAGATATATATGTGCAAGAATATTCATCTTTCAAGAATTTGATTATGTTAATGGTCAGACTATAGTAGTGCTGTGGAGTTATCCTTTGTTGGAAGCTCACTAGTTTATTTAATGTATGAGGAAATACTACGCTACGAATTTGAAGAGTCATTAACAATGCTTTCTCATTGCTTTGCATCTTATCCGGTGCAATCCTTTCTTTCCTACATATTTGGTCGTTTTATGAAGATTTTTTCCCCCTTCTTTTTCATGCTTACAGCCACTACTAAAGTGGAATAGATAGGGTGTATAAATGTCCAAGCTTATGCCTTGTGCATATTTGAAGCTGTTACTTCCCATCCCATTCTGTCCCCACTCCCTTTGTGTCTGGTTGCCCGGATGCTCTCTCTGGTGGACATCAATCTGGTTTTAGTACACCCTATTGACTCATGATATTTTGCGAAGACTGTCATGCAAAAATATCTTCTCTCTCTCTCTCTCTCTCTCTCTCTCTCTAATAAAAAAACAAAAAATTGTCACTGTTTGCAGGAGACAAAAAGATTTTGGTTCATGTTAGTTTTAAGTTCGTTATAATTTATCTTCTGAGGATGCATATCTACTTTATTACCTTCGGTGTAGAGGTTGGCTTGACCATCTTGTTTTGCTATATGTTCAATACTATTGGCTGTAGGAAAAATTGCCATCGGAATTTTAGTTATGCTGACCACTTGGATATAACTAGTAATGTTAAACTGCTCAAGTACACAGAGTGTTTCTTTGTCTCTTTCTTTCTTTCCTTTTGCTTCGCATTTTGGGCCATATAGCTGGTTTATACTACAATACAATATTTTAAGTACTTTGTTTACTTATAGTTCCTTCTCTTGGCCATCTGCAGGAACCTGTTGCCTTCTGAATCCTCCGAACAAAGTGGTACACAATTAGGATCTTTACATCTGAGGTATCCTTGTTGCTACCCTGTTCCTCTCTCTCTCTCTCTCTCTCTCTATATATATATATATATAATTCACCCCAAAGTTTAATAAAAGTTGACAGGAAAGCCAGGAACACCAATGTTTGTTGTGCATCTGACAGTTTTGAAGATTAATCTTAAACGCTGTGTTTGGTTGGGAGATTTGGAGAGAGATTTGAAAAGGAAAAGGGAAAAAGTGTGTGAAGTTAGATGAAATGTAAGTATATTTTATTCACATTTCACCTACCTTTTCTATTTTCCTTTCCAAATCCATCCTTAAATCGTCCAACCAAACACACCATAAAAGTTCCATGTAAGACTATGTAACAGATCAACTGCCAAAGCATATCTGTACGCAAACTAACCTGCCATTTAACTTTTTGTGTTCTTATTACATAAATCAAGATTCTAAAATTGTTTATGCGAATTGGTTTTGAACACCTTTGCTCCAGATTCTGTATCTGGAGGCATGGTTGCATGGGGTTGGTCCATGTTTAACAGTTGTAATGATTGAACTGCTCTTGCTTACTTGGATTGTTGTCTTTGAATGTTAATTTATATTTTGTTATCTAGGATATCAATACTACAGAAACCTCTGCGTTAGTTACTAGGATTGTTGTCTTTGCTTGTTAATTTATATTTTGTTATCTAGGGATATTAGCACTAGAAACTTGTGCAGTTTGATGTAGTTGATAACAAAGATTCTGAATCAAAATCAGGGCCGAAACCGTGTAGGGGCTGGAGGGGTCTTGGCCCCCTTTGATTTTTTACAATTTATTATTACTTTTTTATTTATGAATATTTGTAAAATATATAATGGGATGATTTTTTAATTTTATAAAAATTATCTTACTAACTTTTTATTTCATTAATATTTAACAATGTATAATGAAAATGATTCCTAATATTTTTTTATTTTAAACAATAGTATCAATTTTATTGAGTCAATTTTATTAATACAAAAGGTACATACAACTTATTCTTTTAATTTTAAAATAAAATAGTATATATACCTTTTTATGAGTAACGTTAGACAATTTAAAATTTCACTCCTAAATTTATTCACAATAACATAACAGGAGTTGGAGTCTTAACTGATTGACCTCTAAATAATCAAACAGGTCACATTCAATGTTATTGAATGTAAATTTGAGGTCATGTTTCAGAGATAATGTTATTGAATGTAAATTTGAGGTCATGTTTCAGAGATCTTAGGGTTGATTTGGGAAGTGGGTTAACTTTTTGGATTTTTTGGTTTTTTTTTGTGAGAGAAGAGTGTAATGATTACGGGTTGGATGTGATGTTTTGTTTTTTGTGACTAAAATAACCCATTTTGTTTTTTGTGGCTAAAATACTAAATTATATTAATCAATAAATAACTTAAAATAGTGGTTTAACCGATTGTATACTTGGATCTAACAGTTCAAAATTTTGAAAAATTAAAAAAACTTTTTATTAGATTTATATAATTTTTTTATGAAATACTTCTTTCACAACATTTATATAAGCAGTTATATTCAGTTGCAAATGTATCAAAACTAACTCAATATTTTTTATGCATATATATTGGCCTCTCCTGAACAAAATTCTTGTTCCACCCCTAATCAAAATGTTTACGACTGAAATATTTTTTATTAGAAGGTGTTTTCAGTTGGAACAAAGGGATCGGTAGTTTCAAGAAGAGGGAGAGGGCCAAGGAAGTCAGTATATTTTGAGTCAGTCCCCTTCCAATTTATCATCCTCTTATTTTCTTATTGTCTTAAATAGGACAGCAAATAAACAGACTCGTTTATGAATAGGCTTGAGCTCGGCTCGTTCAAACTCGGTTCGTTAATTTTTTTTTTGCGTTCGAGCTCGAGCTCGAACTCGTTAAATTTTTAATAAACAAGTCTAAACATTCTAAAATTCAGCTCATAAGCTCGGCTCGTTAGTTGACTCGTTTAATATTTATTATCTATATATTAAATAATGTAAAAATATGTACAAAAAATAAGATAAATATGTTATTTATATATTTGAAAAATATAAATATAAATAAGAGTTAACTATAAATAATATATTTATATAATAGTGGTAGTAGATATTATTATTTTAATAAAATATTGACTTTTTTTTTAGAATATTTATATATATTGTATATATAATTGTATAATCAAAATTTTAATTGTAACTTTAGTCTCATACGGAAGTATAAATTTATAAATTTTTGAACTAATTAAGACTCGTGAACAGGCTCGAGCTCGAGTTAAGTCTAAGCCAACTCAGCTCGAGCTCGATTCGTTAAATTTTCATTGGACTCGAGCTCAAGCTCCAAGTCACTAAAATCTTAATAAACAAGCCAAATATACTAAAATTTGACTTGGCTCGGCTTCTTTACTGCCCTAGTTAAATGATTGTAAAAGGAACCCTTTATTTCATTTCTTGATTGAAATCTGATAAAGTATTTTCTTTCCTTATCTTGTCCTTATTTCATTTCTTTATTGAAATGTGATAAAGTTTTTTCTTTCATTCTCTTGTCCTTACTAATATATTAGTTTCTCTAGTTTTTTTTTTTTTTTAAATCAAAATCATGAATATATTCACTTAGCATAGCAGAACTCTGTTGATACCATCATGCAGTAGTTCAGCATGGTTTGTGGTGCGATTTAGTTTTGGGTGGGTACAACTATGTAGCAGTATTTGCAGCCGTCCTCAAGGCATCCATAGCCGGCTGTTTATCAAAATCTTGAATATCTATGATTTTTTTGTTGGTTTCATCGCTTAGACTTTAGTTGCTAGAGCAGTATATATAACTTATTGTCATTGGACTGATTAAACTAATTCAGTCTGTTTTCAGTGTTCCCCAACAATGGATTTTTATTCCCATTGATTGATTTACTTGTGGGGAATCACATCGATTTTCCCTAACAAAATCAGCTATGCCTTCTCCTTTCCCAGATCATCATAGTTGGTATATGTCAACTCTCTCGTCCCTGTCTTCGCCGAATGGTGTTCTTCCAACGCATCTCTATACCTACAACCATGTCTTGGATGGCTTTAGTGCAGTGCTGTCTCAGTCCCAACTTGATCAGCTGGAGAAAATGCCTGGTCACGTTGCCCAGAAACCTTTGGAAAGCTTCAGACTACACATGCCCCGAAGTTTCTCGGCCTGGAACCAGACGTTGGGTTATGGCCCGCAGCCAATTTTGGGGATGATATGATCATCGGCGTTCTTGACACTGGAATTTGGCCGGAAAGTGAGAGTTTCAGAGATGATGAAATGCCCCCCGTGCCAGAGAGATGGCGCGGTATTTGCGAGTCTGGTGTAGAGTTCAACTCTTCTAACTGTAACCGGAAACTCATTGGAGCACGCTCATTCAGTAAAGGGATGAAGGAAGCAGGCTTGAACATCTCCACAAGGGACGACTACGATTCTCCGAGGGATTATGATGGACACGGGACCCATACATCATCGACAGCAGCCGGAAGCCCCGTGCAGGACGCCAGTTACTTCAATTATGCCAAGGGAACCGCGATTGGAATGGCACCGAAGGCCCGGCTTGCCATGTACAAAGTGATTTTCTTCAACTACACATATGAAGCCGCTGCATCTGACACTATAGCCGGCATGGACCAAGCCATAGCTGATGGTGTCGATATCATGTCATTGTCGTTGGTTTTCAATGAGACTGCTTTTGAACAAAACCCAATTGCAGTGGCAGCTTTTACAGCCATGGAAAAGGGGATCATTGTGGTATGCGCAGCCGGAAATAGTGGTCCTCGTGGTTTTACAATCTTCAATGGAGCTCCATGGATCGCTACCATTGGAGCGGGGACCATTGATCGAGATTATGCTGCCGAAGTGACACTTGGTGACTACGGGGACCTCACCGTCAGCGGAAAATCTATCTACCCATTAGACTTGTTAGTCTCCAGAGTCCCTATATACTTTGGCCATGGAAATAGGAGCAAAGAAATCTGCGACGACTATTCTCTTGACCCTAAAGATGTTGCCGGGAAGTACGTGTTCTGCGACTTCAGCAAATCATTCGGATTTAACACGTTTGAAACAGACAGAGCTGGAGCTGCAGGAGCTATCTTCAGTACCGACTCCGCCATTTTTCTCCCCCCAAGTGCTTTCAACAATCCATACGTTGCAGTGATCCCAGAAGTCGGAAATTCAATCAAAGACTACCTAATCAAAGGGAAGAATACGACTGTGAGTATTAAGTTTCAACTGACAGTTTTGGGTACTAAACCGGCCCCTATAGTGGCAAGGTTTTCGTCACGAGGACCCGCCCATCAATCGCCATGGATACTGAAACCTGATATCTTGGCACCTGGAGTTAATATTCTAGCTGCTTATGCACCAAACAGAGGAATTGCGCTGATTGGAGATGACTATTTGCTTAGTGATTTCGCGCTTCTCTCTGGTACGTCCATGTCGTGTCCCCACGTCGCCGGTGTATCAGCACTACTAAAAGCGGTCCACAAGGAATGGAGTCCAGCTGCCATCAGGTCAGCATTGATGACCACGGCTTACGTCATCGACAACACAAACGGCATGATCATCGATATGACCACCAGAGTAGCCGGGACTCCTCTTGATTATGGGTCAGGGCACATAGATCCTGTAAGAGCCATGGACCCAGGGCTTGTTTATGACTTGGAGGCTCAAGACTACATCAATTACTTGTGTGGAATGAACTACACAAACCAACAGATCAAGATCATCGCCAAGAGATCAAATTTCAGTTGTGATCAAGCTAGTCTTGATCTTAACTACCCTTCTTTTATGATCCTCCTCAACAACACTAACACTACAAGTTACACCTTTAAAAGGGTGTTGACAAGTGTAGTGAATAGCTCCTCGGTCTACCGTGCTGTGGTGAACGCTCCGCTAGGCATGAAAGTGGTCGTGGAGCCACCGACGATAGCCTTCCACAGAAAATACAGCACAGCCAAGTTCAGCATGACAGTAGAGGTTGATGCTGGAGTTGGAGATGTCAGGATCCAAAGTGATTCTATTGTGAATTATGGGTATTTAAGCTGGAATGAGGTTAAGGGCAAGCATGTAGTGAGAAGTCCTGTTGTTGCTGCTTTTGCACCTTAACCAAGAGGGAGCATGAAAGGTGTGAATTCCCAAAATGGCATGTCAAAAGTCAAATTTTGGCATGCTACCGTACTAAAAAGAAAATGCTAATCAAATAAACAAATTCATACAAAAAAAATATAAAAATGATATAGCAGTATCATTTTGGTGAATAAACAAATGTATTTTTATGATGTTTTGTTTTAAAATAAATGATTTATATTAAGTTACATTATTATGTATACAAATTAAATATGAATTTTGTATTTATATATCATTATCCATACAAAAAAAGTCAAAATTTGACAACACTAATTAAATGGATGAAATTACAACTTAATGATGGTTTTATGTTTTATTTATTTATTTTTTAATTTATAAAAAATTAACAAAAAAGATTGGTGGCTCGAAATGTGAGGCTCGAATTTGGCCTAACCTTTATGCCCACCCACGTATCTATCTTTGTACACCCCGTTTGTTTTGTTATTACATTTCATTTCAAATTAAAAAAAAAAACAAAAAAGATAAACAGAGTAGAGAAGAAGAAGGAGCCTTGATGTATTTGGTTGAAAAATCTGTTGGTTGTTTAACAGAGATGAATAAAAGGGACGTTGATGTATATTTGTTATTGAGATGAATAATTCACAGAGATGAAAAATCTGTTTAACACTCTGTGTATAATCTGTTTAACACTTTCTTAACAGTGTAATTCCTTTCAAAAAATCTGTCGAGTCTGTTGAACCTGTTTCAACAAATCTGTTTAACAGAGATGAACCTGAATGAAAAATCTGTTTAACAGCGCATAAATCGTCGTCCGTCATTCGCCGTCTCAGTCCGTCGTTTGTCTCCCGTCGTGGTTCGTTCTCCTCTGTCGGCACACGGAGCAGCAGCGGAAGCACCCGCACACATGGAACCCCAGCACGAGATTTTGTATTTTTTTTTTCTTTCTTTCTAATCATGCATGTATCAATGTGTATTGTTAGCTACTAACACTGATGTAAAATGCATAATATTCGTCCCAATAACTTCAATTATAGAATCATAAGTTTATTTATATGCTCTTCAACCTTCAACCTTTGTGTTTCTGATTAAGTCCCACCATGGGAGAGATCAGCTATGAAGCACCGATATGGTATATAGATATTGTGGATATGGCCTTTAATGTTTGAATTGCCTCTATTAATAGAGGTATATTGAGAGATTAAATTGAAATATTTTTATATATTAGAAATTAAATTGACATAATTTAAACATTAAGACTAAAATAATACAAGACTCATACTTTGTGAACAAAAAATGTGATTAATTTATATTGTAATATAATAAAACTAAAACAGGTATGATACTAAAACTGGTATATGATATTTACCTAAATAAGCAATATATTCTAAACAAAAATGTTTTAGAGCTCTAATATAGGAGCTCTAATAGCTCTAATGAGAAGGTGGGTCCCATCTTGATGTGATGTTTGTGCCTTGTTTTGTTTTTTTTTTTTTTTTTTTTTTTTTTGACTTTGACACATCATTAAAACTCAAATTAGAGCTCTATATTTAGAGCTCTCTGTCATTCCCCTACTTTAAATTCTGTCAAGAGAGATTTGCCTTGACATGTTAAAATTCAGCAGCTCTGAGTGAATTTTTGCTCAATTATAATAATGGTCCGTAAAAGGAATTGCACTGGTTTGCCAATTTAGGTCCCTAGGAAGAAAACAAAAAAAATGTCATTCCACCCATGTAAACCAATTGAGTTGTAATCTCCTCAACTCCATTGGTAACTTCTGCCTCCCCTTTTAGGTTGCTAATCAATGAATGTATAAGGGTTTTTGCTTTTTGATAATTAAATGAGATTTATATAAAACAGTACAAGGATTTTTTTTTTTTTAATAAATGTGATTTATATAAAGCAATAAAGGGGCCCACCACGGGCTGGGCTTCCCTCTAGTCCGACGGGCTGGAGGGTACTGTTGGACTAGTGGGAGCCCATTACGGATTCCGTTTCGATAATTCGAACCGTTCAATACGTAAAATTAGTCGAGTACTATATGCCTATAAAAAATCACATTGATCGGATATCGATAGCTATCTCATCGGATCAGATTTCTGTCAACCATTTATTTTTTCATCGTCTATTTTTTTATACAAAACTGATTTGATCACGTAGCTATCGATATCCGATCAACATAATTTTTTACTAGCACATAGTTTTCGAGGAGTTCTACACATTAAATAGTTCAGATTATCAAAATGGGACACGTGGTGGACCCCCACGAGCCCAACAATACCCCCAATCCGATCACAGACTGGAGCCCGAACAATAAAAATAGATAATTAACGAAACAACTTTAACAAAACAAATCTGTTATGTGTAAAGTTTATGATTTAAAATAAGAATAAGTTAGGTTGATTTGGTAATTTGATTTTTTAAAATTTTTTCTTTCCAATAATATTATTGTCATTTTTACCAACATTCCACCAAAAAAATCATTTTGATGTGATAGGAGAAAATTTGAAAATAGTAGTCAAATTAATGATTAATTTTTTGTAAAAAATATTTGAAGGATTGAAAATTTTCACTAGTTTTCTCCAATATCTTAGTAAATGTCTAAAAAATTTCTAATTTATAATAAAAACTGATAGACAAATTGGATGATACACTAAACATTGTGGTTTGATAGGGAGAAATTCATGACAAGCCTCTCCACATGATCGTATTTATGGTCAAAATTAATACAATTTTTGTGATCAATACCATTTGTGTGAAACATCCTCCACGTTTTTGTGTAAAAATTACCAAATTATCAATTTAAAAATAACGTAATCACTACAAAATAAATTCTTGTTTACAAACAAGTCAAAATCTTCCACCATTATGACTTTGCAACATAACAACACAAGGCCCAAAATTGAAATTTTAATTTCATTTTTATGATCAAATAAAAATTCATATTCATAACAATTTAAAAAGTAGTTTAACTGAGCATATGTAATCCATTAATCTCACACTTTTGATATAATTATACTAACCTCCCTTTTGAAGTTTTTAATTTACATAACAGTTAGGTCATTTTTATCAACAATTCGTTAGTTGTATAAATAAAAAAAAATTATTGTCTTCTCCTTTCTACTAAAATATATATTTATTTTTATTTATTTCAGTGTCTACCTGTTATCTCATCACTTTAACCTTTATTAGAAGGGAGATTAGCATAATTATGTCAAAAGTATAAAATTAATTGTATTATTTCCAAATCTCAAGAGAAGAACAAATTAAATAAAATACCAATTGAGACTATTGTGTGACAAAAGACAGTAATAATAATAATTTATATAACCAGGAAGGGGGGTTTTCCTTTGAATTTACATTGAAGGAGAGTTGCTATGCTTTGATCGCCCCTCTTATCCTTTTTTGCACCCAAAAAAACAAAAGGTGAAATATAAAATGCACTTGGCCTTTAGTTTCTAGCCATTCTCTGTTTGTATGCTTGGGATGTGCCCTTTTAGGCTGCCATCAACACAAAAAATGTAGTACTTGAAGCACACTTATTTTCACCATTGGCAAACCTTGCCTATGGTGTAAATGCGGAGACTATTGGACTTCTTACCACATGAGTCTCATTAACCTCATACCAGCCTAAGTACCCATAAGTCCCATTGTACTCATTCCATGACCTGACTCCCAAATCAATTTCAACTGTCAAGTTGAACTCAGCCTTACTGTATTTCCCCGTGAAGGAGATTGTTGATGGCTGCACAATAATTTTCGTACCCATTGGAGCCGTCACCTCTGCTAGATACACCAAATGTGAATCGACCATATTAGTCAGCACCCTCTTAAAGGTGTAACTTGTAATATCAGTGCTGTTCAAGATGACGATAAATGAAGGATAGTTAAGATCCAAACTAGCATTTTCACAGTTGAAATCGGACCTCCTTGTTATAATCTGAATCTGTTGCGCTGTATAGTTCATTCCACAGAGGAAATCGATGTAGTCTTGGACCTCCATGTCATACACAAGTCCAGGGTCCATGGCCTTGTTAGGGTTCACATGTCCTGCCCCAAAATCAAGAGGAGTCCCTGCAGCTCCAGTGGCTATGTCAATGATTGTGCCATTCAAATTATCAAACACATCTGCAGTAGTCATCATAGAAGATCGAATAGCAGCTGAGTTCCAATCCTGGTGGGCTGCTTTCAACAGTGCGGCTATGCCAACTATGTGGGGAGACGCCGTGGAAGTGCCAGACACAATTACATAGTTTGAGAGTAATGAACTGCCGTGAATATACGCACTCAACCTGTTGGGTACCCATCCAGCCAAAATCTTGTATCCAGGTGCCAGTATATCAGGTCTAAGTGTTGGAAAAAATGGTTTATATAGGCTTATTTTGGGCTAACTTTGAGCCCAAAATTGAGTGGGCCCGAACGTCTTTTGGGGAGGGTCCAAAGAGGTGAAGTGTTCCTTGCCGCGTGGCAAGTCACACGGTGAAGACGGTTCGTCAAAACCATTTATGAGTGAATGGAAACATAACGTCGTTTTCGGGTTTATGGAATAGACATTTAAAGAATGAAATGTGGGTTTCCTTGGAAAGGGTTGTCCCACATTGAAACTTTAAGAGAGTTTTGTTAAGTTTATAAGCTCTAGCCTACAATACTTGGGTTGGACCCCAAGGGGCACCCCAAGTTTGTAGAAGGGAGGAGTTATAGACAAAGTGAGCCTTAGCCAAAATCACCACACGCGCACCGCCGCCGCCGTCCGTCCAGCCCAGCGTGAGTGTGAATCAGGTCAGTTCTTGTATTATTGCATAAATTTAATTCATATTTGAATTCCAATTTTTGTCCAACATTTAAGTCTCCTTCTATCCGAAATTTCTCTCAGATTCAAACTGGAAAACTGCCCAGCAGGTTCGATTTTAACTGCCCAGCAGTTACAGATCTGTTATTTCCGAACAGATTCAAAACCTTGCAGCATATCTGTTTAAATTCAAAACAGTACCTGTTCATTTCAAAAGTGCACCTGTTGGATTCAAAACAGCACCTGTTCGGGGCTGTGTTTGCTACCTATAAATACCAACTTTCCAACAGTGTTTTTAGATCCGAAAATCAATCTGCAAATTGTCTCTTTGTTGTCCAGTATTTATTTTGTGCATTATTCTTCATTTTAGTTTTAGAATAAAATTCAGAGAGTAAGAACACAAGGTTCTAGTTCGTTGAACAAATTTGTTTGAAGTGCTTCTACAAATTTGTGAAGATCATTGTATCCTGGGAGATAGACGCCACTCAACTGTAAACACCGTAGCGGGGCGAATCTGTCTTAAGAACAGAGTGTCACACACTCGACTTGGTCTTTCTCATCACTTTAACCTTTATTAGAAGGGAGATTAGCATAATTATGTCAAAAGTATAAAATTAATTGTATTATTTCCAAATCTCAAGAGAAGAACAAATTAAATAAAATACCAATTGAGACTATTGTGTGACAAAAGACAGTAATAATAATAATTTATATAACCAGGAAGGGGGGTTTTCCTTTGAATTTACATTGAAGGAGAGTTGCTATGCTTTGATCGCCCCTCTTATCCTTTTTTGCACCCAAAAAAACAAAAGGTGAAATATAAAATGCACTTGGCCTTTAGTTTCTAGCCATTCTCTGTTTGTATGCTTGGGATGTGCCCTTTTAGGCTGCCATCAACACAAAAAATGTAGTACTTGAAGCACACTTATTTTCACCATTGGCAAACCTTGCCTATGGTGCAAATGCAGAGACTATTGGACTTCTTACCACATGAGTCCCATTAACCTCATACCAGCCTAAGTACCCATAAGTCCCATTGTACTCATTCCATGACCTAACTCCCAAATCAATTTCAACAGTCAAGTTGAACTCAGCCTTACTGTATTTCCCCGTGAAGGAGATTGTTGACGGCTGCACAATAATTTTCGTACCCATTGGAGCCGTCACCTCTGCTAGATACACCGAATGTGAATCGACCATATTAGTCAGCACCCTCTCAAAGGTGTAACTTGTAATATCAGTGGTGTTCAAGATGACGATAAATGAAGGATAGTTAAGATCCAAACTAGCATTTTCACAGTCGAAATCTGACCTCCTTGTTATAATCTGAATCTGTTCTCCTTTGTTGTTGTGTTCCCAAGTTGAGATTATTGAAGAATCTAAGCCTCTCATCATATTCTAGAGAATTCGAAGTTGTTCTTCAAGGATCTTTGAAGATCTTCGAATTTTCCAACTCTTTTCTTGAACCCTCTCCTACAAAAAAAAATAAAATAACCTTATAAACCCTGAAATCCCTATAGAGTCTTAAAAACTAATATATTTCAGAACTCTGTACAAATAGACAACAACCAAGTATTAACTGATAAGATAAAATCAAATTCAGGATTTTGGAGCTTTTCCTTTCTTAACTAGTTAAGCATCCTTAACTAATTGTGTCATGTCAGAGAAATACAAGCAAGAAAATAGTAGTATTCTATTTGCAGGAATTCCCACAGATGGCCCAAAAGGGAAACTACGTTGCATATGTGAATATCTACAAGGCTACTCATGAGTCATTTACAGTTTTTTTGCCTCCAATCTCATATCTAGAGTCATTATTCTGGAGAATTGTAAATCAGGTATGTCATGTCTTTCAGATGACAATTAGAACGACAAATAGAGAATGCAATTTTAATGAACATGCAACCAATCAGACACTTGTTATAGAGTATTAGGAAGCAAAAAATAGCTATTAATAATCTGCCTATACCTGGAATTGAATTTGTTGCGAGTATATCTCATAATTTCAAACACATAAATAATATTTCTGAGTATAATTTTGTGGAGGCCAGGAGAGAGGGGAGGAACAGGTAGATGGATTAGATATAACAAACAAAAAAATGAGAAACATGATTTTCATCCGCCATTGATAGAATGTCCAGATACAGCAAGTCAACACATTCAAGAAAATTTAACCTTCCTCTTGCTAACCAGCATGACGGTTCCAACAACTCATCTACGTTCTCCCTTTAAGAGCACTGATCTGTTAAAAGGACATCAAGGAGAACAACACCATCACCAAAAATGTATAAAGCATCATTCAATATAAAAATACATTCTATGTGCTGTACTAGAGCAGCTGTAGTATAAACACTGAACACTGGGGACATCACCACCCCAATCCTCTGGGCATTAAACCAATTGAAGCAAGCTCTTGCATAACTCGTTCTGGATTAGCTCCATCCTTATCTATCTGGAATAACAAAATAAAACTGGAGTTCTCCTACTCTTGAACCAACATTGAATGGGACAAAGTGAGTGATGTACGAGGAGCAATAAGCACAGCCAGGTTATAACACAGCCAGGTGCCAGTATATCTAACTAAGATACCTTATTTATGGCAATCACAATAGGTACACCAGCAGCTTTGGCATGAGCTACGGCCTCATTTGTTTGAGGACGGATACCATCATCACAGCCACTACAATGATAGCAATGTCTGTCACCCTCGCTCCACGAGCTCCCATTGCCCAAATGCCTACAGGAGTGGACATAACAGATATCATCTATAGGCTCGTTTTGGTGCAGTTTATGGGGCTGCTTATAAGCTTTTTTTTCATATTAAAAATCTGTGCAGTGTTTGGTGCAGCTTTCACTTATAACTTTATGAGGCACAAATGCTTAAATAAGCTAAAAAAGTTGATTATTGAGAAGCAAGGAAAGATGTTTTAGCTTCTGTTTCTGATTATCAACTTTAGCTTGCAAGAAGCTGCCACAAAACAGCCCATGGGAAGACAAAATGAGCAAGTTATTGTTCACAAACAAAACAAAACATTCCACAACCAAAGGGTAACTAGAGCTCAAACAAGGAATTAAAACAAATCCACAAACTATCCAACGAGATAGACAGAGAGAACTACACATATCTGGCAAAGAAATCCAAAGTTAGAACAACAAACGGAGAAAGAAGTTACCTCATGTCCAGGGAGTATCAAGAAAAACACTGGTTCCACTTGCCATCAATAGGTACCAGCCACTCTATATGTCCCCATTCCTTGGGTAATCCCACCAGCTTCGAGGCAGCTACCTGTACCAATCCCACCAGTCAGGCTAAACTTTGAATGTAATTCCAGATGAATTGAGCATGCCTCAAATACCAATCCAATCTAGAATATGATGTAGGTATCGGAACATGATATGTTTCATAGATTAGTCACTCTACCATAAACATAATGAAGTATAAAGTTTGTAAGGGAAAAGTAACTAGAAAAACATAGGCCATGTTTGGTTTGGTTTTTCTGAAATTATTTTATGAATTTATTTTTTATTTTTTTTAAATAGAAACTAGTTTGACAAAATAAACATCAAAAAATTATTTTTGAATTTTTAAAAATTATTTATGCCCTCCAAAAAGATTAAAAAATAAAAAAAAATAAAAAAAACTACATAAAATGCTAAGGTTCTGGTTTGTTGAGTTTTTGAAACTTTAGTTCCAGTCATTGGTTCTCACGTGGTGTTTGTTTGCAGCTTTCAAAAATTAATTTCAATGCTCACTTTTGAAAACTCAGTCAAAAGGGCGGGAAAAATTTGGACTAACGGTCGTTCGGCAGTTGATCAGAACAGTGCAATTTTTTTTTTATTTTTTTTTTGCAATTGACACATGTTAATTTTTATATATTCAACAAAAATAATATTTCCGAATTTTTTAAAAAAATTTTAGAGCTTTAATAGAATTTTGATGTGTGTGTTTAGTTATGAGTTGTAAGTTTTTGTATCAAATATCTATGTCACATCAAAAATTTCCTACTCAATTCAAAAACTCATTCACCAAACAATTGTAAGAATTTATGTATTTATTGATTGATGATTGTTACAAGATTGATTGATGTTGTGTTATGTATTACAACTTCCTATATATAGAAGAGAAGGTGGTAGTAGGTGTAGTGTAGTGGAGGGTGGTAGGTGAAGTGGGTGCTAGTGGAGATGGTAGGTGGAGGAGTAAATGGGAAATTCTAACAGCCCCCCGCAAACTCAAGGAGGATAGAAAACTAACCAACTTGAGGTTTGGAAAGAGGAACAAAAACAAGGAAATACATAAAAAAGGATAGGAGACACTGTATGGTCGTGTCAGACGTTGGTGAAGACACTGTATGTGTTGTCATAACGTTGTAGAAGACAGTTTATGGGTCATGTCGGACCGTTGTAGCAGGACAGTTTACGGGGTCATGTCGGACCGTTGAAGCAGACACTGTGTGTCGTGTCAGACCTTTGAAGACAGTTTTTGTGACAGTTTACGGAGTCTTGCTGGACCCTTGTAGAAACTAACCGGAATCAATGTCGGACAGTTTATGGAGTCTTGTCGGACCCATAAAGGAGCTAACCGGAATCAATTTCGGCGACAGTTTACAGAGTCTTCGGGACCCTTGTAAAAGTTGCACCTCAAAAGGTGTGCCCAATTTGTCAAAAGGCGTGCCATCAAAAGGCGTGCCCAATTCATCAAAAAGTATGTGCCATGAAAAGGCGTGCCAGTTTGTCGGGCGGCAAGAGGCGCGCGATTGCGCGTGGCTGGCCCTGGCTATTAAAACAAGGTTGAGGCGAAGGCTGTGCATACGAGTCTGAAACCTCTGAACGCTCGGAGAGCTTGTCTCTGCAAATCTTGAAACACCCGGAAACCAACCCTTCTCTGAAACCACTTGGAACTCAAAAAATGGCCTCTTCTTCCCGTCCAGTTACCAGAACTTGCTCACGGCTCTTTCCAGAACTGAACGAGCCCACAAGAGAAATAAACTGGTGCGGTGGCCAGTGAACCGCAAACCAAACAACCTCTGGTTTTGCTCATTGAACTTTCCGATGCGTCGGTGGAGCAAAAAAATGGCGATTGCAACTGATATTGAGGCTAATCAGTATTACTTGAAGTCATGCGTGGAAACCATGACGGCGGTCACAAATTTGTTCGAACCGCTGCAGAGTGTAGACAAATGAGGTGCAGCATTTAAACTCCCAGCTGCTCTGCTCCAACGCCATGTATAAGGATTGCGAGCGACAGGTAAGCGTGCTAAGACAGAAAAACAGAGCTGAAGCGGAAGGCACCGTGATGTTCCATTTGGAGGACCGCCATATGCGGCCAGTGAGGAGCAGGGAGTAAATGTGCTCGGTGGCGTTGGGAAATCCGGAGGCAACACCGTCAAGGGCCGTCCAAGACGGAGGCAAGAAGAGAGGACCTGCAGCAGGAGTAGAGAAGAAAAATCCCACTGTGGGTGTTTTGTTTTGTTTGTTGGTTTTTTTTTTTTTTTTTTTTTTTGTGTAAAATGGTGATCGGGGTGAGACCCGATATGAATAAATGACCCGATATGAATAAAATGAGGTTGTGTGCAGGTCGTCTTTTTTTTTTATTATTTTTTTTTTTTAATAAAATAAATAAATAAATAAAATAAATAAAATAAAGAAAAAAAGTGGAAGCAACGTGAGTGAGGTGCAAAAGGGCATGATAATGTTTTGTGGGTGGTATAAAAAGTAAAGTGAGAGGAGAGAAGTGTTGGGCTGTGTGGGTGGAAAATAAAGAAACGACAGACAGCCTGTATAACATTGGCAGACAGCCTGTGTTGTTGACCACTGTATAACATTGGCAGCCTAATGAATGACTATGAAGATAGACAGCCTATTGAACGACGGCGTTGCATAATACGCACAAAAATCCTATCTGTCTAGCATAATCTGTGTTGAAATCGCGTGTCTAGCACAACAAACAC